GGTGAACTTTGGGAGTGCGATGAAGTGGTTGAGGCAAGATAAATTGACGACTGGCCAACAATCTCCAGTTTTCTCAGGGACAACGAAAAGATGGGAATAAGAACCACTGGAAGGATGGTTTGATTGCCCACTGTAAAAGCAATTCTTGAACCATTTCTGACAGACACGGACAGGTCCAGTATCTTGAGGATGGAAGGAAACAGGAGGTGGAGAAAGAAAATGGATAACAAATCCTTTCGACAGAATCCGTATCACCCACTGATAATCGACAAAGGGATGCCAGTGAGGAAGAAACTCTAATAACTGAGCTCCCATCAAACCTGAACCCACAGGGTAGTTACTGGTACTGGTGGCGATGGGGGTTACATCGTCAAAGAAATCGATGAGAAGAAGTACAGTGATTAAAAGGAATGGGTAAGAGTTGGGAGGATGAAGGATGGGAATGAGAACGGGTGGCATATGAAGCTATGACCGTGACAAACAGGCTACAAAAGTATTGATAGTTTCCTGGACTATCAAAGACATAGCATCTCAGGAAAGGTGCAAGACAAAAATCACTGAGATAGGTAAATTGACCTAAGCCAAAGCTGTGTCCCAACTTATAAGAAACCAAGAATGTAACACCAGAGCTGAAATCAAAATGTGGGCTAAAGTGGAGGAGAGAAGTGTAAGAGTATCTGCAGAAAACCCACCAGGATTTCTGTGGAAAGCCTCCGATAGGAGATGTATGAAAGAAAGATACCGTAAGAGGTTGGAGGGTATGATGTGAGTGAGAATATTGGGCATGAGTAAAACTAACATTTGTTTCAGAAGCCACCCCCTAAATAGGTAATAATGAACCTAACAACTGCTGATCTGAAAACAGATAGTCCACACAATGGTAAGAAAGAGCGAACTGATCAGAATTCCTTGGGGGGCATGGGATGCTGATCCCCTCACTTAATTGTGAGGCAAGTTGATCTGCATGTACCCGATTATCAGAGGAGGGAGGAAAAAACAAAAATGATTGTTCATGTAATAAGGAAGGATGAGGTGGATAGGGGAAAGGAATAAAACATCACAAACCTGAGACACAAAATCCGTAAATACCAAATTATGCCTAGGTGATTCCTCAGGCTGCAAATGGGAAAGAACAGTAAACTCTGGAGTCATGAAAAGATGATCAAAGTCCTCGCCATACTGAACAAGTTCAACCGACTCAGGAGGAGCTTGGGTGATGTCTGGGGACAAAAGTTGACCCACTTAGCACTCAATCTCCTGATGTATAGAAGCATAGAGATCCACCATCGGATCACCCTGCACCTGAGGCCTGAGAAAACAAAACAAAACTGGTTGTTGGTGTGACTCCTAAAGTTGTAATGTGAGCTTCATAACTCATAGCACAAGAAAAGGTTCACAAAATTCGAGTGCAGAAATATAGTGACAAGAATGAACTGGTATAAAAGAAAATAAAGTAAAAAAGAAACCACTTCACGTGAAAAAAAAATTTGTTTGTCACACTGGAAGCACTAGGCACACAAAAGAGGACATCTTAACTCAAACGCTGTGAAACAAAAACTGAAGGTTCGGTAGAGGGAGTAACGTGCGTCACTTGAGCATATCATGCAACTATTGGTTAAGAGATGATGCATGATGATTTACATGAGACATGTTGGAGTATAGTATTTCCAACAGGGTGGTGGTGTGGAAGGCTTGTGGCATGCATAAAAAAAGTTTGCATATGGAGGGCAGCACTGAATGAGAATAGCTAATCTTGTGAATAGAGGTAAGTACCATATCGGTAAGTACCATATATAAGTATACCATACCATATAAGTACCAATAGAGTAAGTACCATATTTAATTTTTAATTTATTTATATTAAATATTTTAGGGTTCTGACATTTTTTAACACTCAAATATTTCAATATCTGAAACAATGTGTAATATTCATCTATGGGACATAAAATCTTGTCAAATATATTGGATTTGTTACTATATTTATCTTGTTTTATGTTCACAAATATTATCTGTACGATATAAAGTTTTCGAAAGTTTATTCACAACATATTTCAAAATGCAACAAATATTAATGTGAATAACAATTAAACAGTTTTCTTTTGAGACATAAATCATCTTAGAAGTTTAAATTCATCCTCTAACAGAATTGGAATTATACAAAGTATGATTATGAAACATATGCACAATTCACGTGCAAATAATGATAGATTTATCAAGTATTTATACTTCAGGTAATTTTCAAGTAAATTATACTAATATATAAAGTCCTTGATGACAGCTAGACTTATTAACTATTTCTTTCCCTGCCAAACATAAGTTTGTATGGAATGGGATGACACTGTGTTGACCACATGACCCAGCTCAGGATCCTTTATCATCAGATTGACAGGATTAGCATTTCTGAGAAATACAAATAAAGTATAATTAAATTCAATATAAGCAGATAACTTACTAACCGGTTATTTTTTACTCTATTTTCATGGAAACAGTAAAATAAAACAATATGTATACCAGAACTGCTACAACAGCAATTAATGTTTACGAATAAATACTGGATTATAGTAATGTAAATTACCGTGCAATTGCTACTTACAGTTCCAAGTAAAGGTCAAATTTTGAAATGTGTAAATAACATGCTTGTTTCATTTTACAAAAGAAACTGGTTTTGGATTGCAAACACACATACATACACATGCATGCCCACAATCTTCTATTGATAATGTTTGAAATGATTATAGTTTCAAGTAATAAGGATGTAAGATTGGAAGTCAGAGTTTTCTAATTTATATATATCTTCTGTAATTTTACAACAATGAAAACTAGGTTTGTTCTTTATACAAGTGACTGTTACACAACAGTAAGAGATAAAACATCCAGAAACATATCCACTCTGTTAAATATTTTGTCAATAGCTGGTAAGAGATTAGTTATGAAAGTATATATATATACATATAAATGTAAATACCTGAAAAAAAAAAATTTATTCAGTTATCACATACTTTTTATATAATTTAAGTGCTAAATATTCTTTGTCATCTTCTTAAAGATGAAATGACTATAATATCCAACGAAAAATTTTCTTCATATAAATCATATAATAACTGCAACTCGTGTGTGTTTTGTTAATTAACAATCTTCTTAATAATTGAATTCAAAGGTAACTTCAAAATATCATTAATGAAGTTAACTGCACTTTACAAGGTTAACATTCCAGATCCTATACTAACTCATCGTTGATTTTGTTCAATCAGATGGCTGTAATTACACAATACTGTGCACAATTTTTATTACAACAAGCTTCCATGGAGGATGGCAAGAATAGTTTTATAGAAACTCCTACAGAAGATGATGTTACCCCACACATTTTGATAAACTTTCCAAAGACGTTCCACTCTGTTTTTGAAGACCTAGCATTTGCAGACAGAGTTACAATAGCCAATGTAGTTTCATATGGGACATTACAGAAATGTTGCCAATTTGAATTGCTATGATTCTGTTTCTTTGATTGTCTTTATGATGAAAATAGTCATTGATTTCATGATATGACTAAAAGCTTGTAAATTATTGGCTTGTAAACTTTCATCATATTGAAATTTTTGTTTATTATCTTCTTAAAAACACCATGAAATATGCTCAGCTTTATTGCAATGGCTTTTTTCGGGTCAGGGGGGTTCTTCATAATCTTAGTCCTTACTTTATTGATATTACTTTATTGAATGGGGTGGGGCATGGTTTCACTGCTGTTCTAAATGTTCTACTGTGAAAATTATTCTGCTTCTAAGGAGAACACTGAAGACTTCCTTTTTCAAAATGTTATGTCCTTTGACTGCTTATCATTTAACAATCTGCTGTATGAATATTTCTTTCATAAAGACCTTCTTCTTACTTCAAGCAGTAAGTTTACCTACAGGTAATGGGCAAAAAAATGGAAATACCTGGGTAAATGAGGGACAACAAGTATATGCAATTCAGAGGCTACCACAAAGGTATGGCTCGTCCATTAATTAAGCAAATAACATTCCAGCATGCATAGGTTCATGTATGAAAATGCTGGACATGCCTGGTTGCCTATAATCATGGCTAGCATGGCTGCAAGAGACCTCAGTGACTTTGAAAGAGGAGTGATTGTTGGGGCATGTTTGGCAGGAGCTTCAGTGATCAAGACACCTCAACTTGCTGATGTTTCACAAGCAATGGTGTCTAAGGTGATGTCAGCATGTAACTCTGAGGAAAAGACATCATCAGCAAAGGGTAACAGTGGGTGGAGGTGCATACTCCAAGATGGTGATGTCTGTGCATTAATTTGATCTGCAAAGCAAAACAGTCGAACAATCACAGATCAATTGACTGCAAATTTCAACCTGGGGCGAGAGCAGCCAGTTTGATAAAAAATTATCTGTTGAGAACTCCACAGAATGGGATACCATAGATGGGTTGCAGTGCACAAACCACTCATCACATCTGGCAATGCACAGTTGAGTGTCCAGTGGTGCAAAGAGCACAGTCTATAGACTACAGAGCAGTGGAGAAATGTGATATGGTAAGATGAATCATCCTTCACCATGTTTTTGACAAATGGATAAGTGCACGTGTGGCAACAAACCAAAAGAACTCTACAGCCCTGAGTGTTTGGTTCCAACAGTGAAAGGTTCAGGTGTTTCTGTAACAGTGTGGGGCACATTTTCCTGGCATAGTCTGGGTGCACTCATACCCTTAGAAGGCAATCATTACTTAATGGTACTGAGTGATCATCTTCACCCCATATTACAACATTTCTGTTTTGCAGAGAAAGGTGTCTTTGAAGATGACAATGCCCCCGTCCACAGAACAAGAGTAGTCGCTAATGGTTTGATGAGCATGACACTAACATTATCCATATGTCATGGCCTTCTTAGTCACCAGATCTGAACTAAATCGAGTGTGTATGGGATATTTTGGAACGACTCCTGAGACAGCATTTTCCACTTCCACCAACTAGGCATGAATTGACCAACTTTCTCATGGAAGAATGATGTTGCATTTCTCCTGCAGATTTACAGACACTGGTAGACTCTATGCCATGGCACATACAAGCCATACTGGCAGCACGTGGTGGCCCAACACTCTATTAATTAAATTTACATTGGTATTTCCATTTTTTTTACCACTACCTGTATGACAACATTGCTCAGCTAAGTGATTATTGGATATTTGTCTTAAACAGAATATATAGGTACAAAACATGTCACAAGTTTGTGTTTGTGCTGACATGCCATTTAGACAGCATATACAGTTCCTTCAAATAAAGTATAATTAATCTTTTGTACCTTATCTGATGACAGAAATTTTTACTGGACTAACCTTATGTGTAAACCTAGATACATTCTACAGAAATATGAAGAGAGCTGAATGTAGGCTTTCATGAACTCTTTGGTGAGTGTAAATTAGGGTGAATAAAAAACAGACAAGTTCAAGGTATTTTTATGAAAACGCAATAAAGTCTTGGAAATTAAGAGCAACTTAATTCTGAAATTTAAATAACACATACCTTTTTGACACAATTTCTTAGTCTTACAATTTACTGTTATAAGCATAAACAAAACAATACACATTTATGGTTCCATTACATTTTGATACACAGTGTCAAATACTAGATGCCTTAAAATTCCTGTCTCCAAGATAAATATATATATATTTAGATGGTATTACTGAAAACATGCCTTACAGAAAATATGCCTTACAATTCTTATATATATTGCTATGATTATGTAAAAAAAAAAAGTTTTCTCAGGTGCAAAAACACCATGAATTTTGACATGTGTAAGAAATACATATGAAGCCTTACTACAGTTTTGAAGTTATTACACTTAAGATCCTAACAATGTGTGAACAAAATGGAAAAAATGTGACTAGGAATTAATTATCAAATTATCCATGGATGAATTGTTTCAACTTAAATATGTATTCAGTGAATAAGTACAAGAAGCACCTTAATAATCCTTAGTTAACTTAGATGAACTGCTAAGATGTAGAAACTTTAAACTGGTAGGTACCATTCAGTAACAAGTATAAACTGGTACATACCATTCAGTAACAAGTATAAACTGGTACATACCATTCAGTAACAAGTATAAACTGGTACATACCATTCAGTAACAAGTATAAACTGGTAGATACCATTCAGTAACAACTATAGACTAGTAGGTACCACTTAGTAACAACACAGCTCTGTGAAAATCTACATACAGCTATTTCAATATGAGTCGTGTCAAGAGTGTTGTATTTGCATTATTTTCATTACAATTAATATTGGACAATAAAATGTCAACATAAAAAAATTAGGAAGTTGATAAAAAATTTAGAATTTATGTAGGAATATGTGTCTTTTTATACATGATTTAAGACTTTTATGGCTGCTTGAAAGCCTGTGAACATAACAAATGTACAACAAATCCCAGGTTCATCACTCGCAAGGTATACCAACATTAAAAACCTGTGAAGAAAATTAAAACTATGTCATTAAAGGGTTTCATAGGAAGTTTTTACATGTACAATAAAACCAATTTACCTGTTCACAACCACCAAAACTGATGTTCTATTTAGAGTCATGAAAGCTGCTACCTCGAGACCAGAACTCCCTGTCTGAGAAACTCCTATACGATACGATCCACGCTGAATAAATTTACTGGAACAAATAAGTTCTGGTTCCATTATATATTGTCATTACTCTAAATTAACCAACTTTTATATTCTAGCTAAAGAAATTCAAATTTTGACAGATTAGGAAATCAAATTCAAAAATTTATTCTAATAATTTAACACATGCTAAAGACATTCTAGCCATATTCATAGGTAATAAGTCTCAAGTACACAAGTATGCATAATTTTGTTCGGTACTAACTGCTCAATAAGAAATAAATGGGCCTATATGATCTGGTTGTGGGCTATATTTTGGCTCAAGAGAAAAACAATAACAATATTCTAACTTTGAAGATTTTAAAAAGCAAATCATATTAGTTGGAATATGGGAACCAAACACCTTAATTGCTTCATATGTATAAAATATCCATTAAAAAAAAAAGTACTTTTCATGAGAGAAAAATCACAACATAAGGGTTTTTCTCTCATTGGCAAAGAGTGATCTATAGATCAGTAGTATGTGTGGTATTATATCACAATAACACTGATAATGACTTTAAACATTACTAGTCTTATATGGTTCTCAGTAAGAAGAATATAATAGCAGCTGGACCACAATACTTATCTATTGCATGCCACTATCAATGAAGTCCTTCATTCAATTTCAGAGTTAATCAGGTTGACTGGTTATGCAACATACAAAACATCAGTTGAAATGCTATTCATAAGTCTTTTATGATATATAAAATTCATAATTCATATAGTATACAATATCTTTGCTGGTCTATACAAAAATTATTTAATAGGATATATAATTAGCTTCAAATTTACTCTGTCAGCATGTTGTGACAAATACTTTTCATATAAAAGACTTTTCCATTTACAAAATAATATATACACTATCTTACCAAAAGTCATGGGACACGGGTAGTTATGAATAAAACATATCTTTATTCCAAGAAATTAATAGCACGTTGGCCTGCCTTTGGCCTTAATGACTGCTTCAATGTGTCGTGGAAGACTGTCTACTAATTTCTGGTAGAAAGCTTGTGGTATTGTGCTCCACTCCTCCTTGAAAGCATTGGTAATTTCCACTACTGAAGAGGGCCGTCTTGGCCTTGCTCTAATTCTGCATTCCAGTTCATCCCAAAGATGTTCTATCAAGTTGAGTTTAAGGCTCTGTGCTGGCCACTGCAATGTTCCGATGTTATTCTCTTTAAACCATGCATTCACAATCCTTGCTTTGTGACATGGAGTGTTATCATGTTGGAAGATGTAAGGGCCAGTACCATAAAATTGTTACAATGTAGGACACACAGAATTGTTCAGAACATCATTCATGGATCCATGCACTGTAATCAGTGGACCTAGTCCATACACGAGAAGCACCCCCAGACCATGATACCGCCACCTCCAAACTTCACTGTTGGGACAACACACTCAGGTAATAAGAATTCTCCAGGCATCCTCCATACCGAAACATGTCCATCAGACTGGTAGAACATGTAGCATGACTTGTCGCTCCACAGGACCGATTTCCATTGATTCACGGTCCAGGTTCAGTGTGCCTTGCTCCATGCCAATCGATGGTATGTATTTGTTTTTGTTATCAACGGCTTGTGGGCTGCAGCTCTTCCGTGAAAATGCATGGCATGCAGCTCTCAGTGTGTTGTGGAAACACTTATAGGATTGTCTGTGGCTGCTCACATCTCCAAACACAGATTCTCTAGGGTTTGATGGCAAGATCAGGTAACCAGCCTTCTCAAAACACGTTGGCTTCTGTCAGTCAGTATTTTATGCCTACCCAATCGTTTTTTGGGCTCATTATCACCTGTGGACTTCCATTTATTCAGCACGCTGCCAATTGTCAACCTGGGAATGTTTAATTGTTGCACAATAGCACATACAGACATTTTCCCCAAATGACATCCAACTATCCTTCCCCTCTGAAACTCTGTTAGATCTTTCTTTGTACTCATCGTTCAGAGTACAAGTTGGAAATGACTTCCAAGCGAACCGCTGATCACCTTTATAAGCCAAGATATTTGCATATTTCATTGTTACACCCATTTTCCTGCAATCAGAGGTGTGTTTCATGACTTTTGGTAGGATAGTATACATCATATCTGTTTCATTCACTACTAAGGAAAGATAAAAGAACAATACTATTTATGACACCAGACACATCAAGGTTATATGATGTACTCCTTGTAGAGAAAAGAAAAAAAATATTACATCAAATCTAATGGACTTCCATTCTTTCAGGCAAACACATCATAATGATAAGCTGTTTCTTCACTTCAGTATGTAAAATATAGAAGTATTTAATCATTCAAGACACACAGTAATATGTAACACGATCTGAACACAGTAATATGTAACATGTTCTGAACACATGAACATGTAACATGATCTGAACACATTAACATGATCTGAACACAGTAACATGATCTGAACACAGTAACATGTAACATGATCTGAACACAGTAACATGTAACATGATCTGAACACATGAACATGTAACATGATCTGAACACAGTATCATCTAACATGATCTGAATACAGTAACATGATCTGAACACAGTAACATGTAACATGACCTGAACACATTAATATGTAACATGATCTGAATACAGTAACATGATCTGAACACAGTAACATGTAACATGACCTGAACACATTAATATGTAACATGATCTGAACACAGTAACATGTAACATGACCTGAACACATTAATATGTAACATGATCTGAACACAGTAATATGTAACATGATCTCAAACTTTAGTTACATTCAAATAATTCTAAGAGTTCATGCTACTTGTAAGTTATCACAAGCCTATAGATCATGTTTTTTTAAGTTTTATAATGTTATATCTGAAAGTACAAAAACCTTACCTAAAATGTCCTAAGACATAGTACATAGGTTGCTTGTAAAACTCTTTGGCTGTGGCATTGACAATAACTGGGGAATCAACAAAATTATTAACCCAGTTTGGCCCACCTCTAAGGTCCAAAGCTAAGTTCCAGTCTACCCATCCAACACTCCAGTGAAGAAGATCCTGTTAAAACACAAATGTGTGAAAACCAAAATTCTATAGTTTTAATAGAGCAATAACAATTATTTCTATCTATATTATAAAATACAGCTAAATACAATTTGTGAGACATTAGGTTCTCCATCAGTAGTTAGAGGCATCTTCAAACATAATTCCAATAGTCTTACACATGAAGGGTTAAACACATCTTGTACTGAGTATTATCTACATAAATACCTACATATCATTACAGCATATTTCAGTTAAAATAATAAATCATCTTGTTTCTTGTGGAAATAGAGATCAAAAGTAACAAGTCACAGATACATATTATGACAAAAGGTATGAGCCAGGGCCTTGTTCAGTACCGTTTACAACTAAACGACACTTAATTTTTCTTACAACATTAGCTATCAGCTGTTCTTCCTTTACTGCTAGTAACAAAAATAATCTAATAGATTGTTTACATCTGTATACTTGAACTAAAGGATCTGTTATACCTGTTAAATTTGTACACTTATAGCCTGCTATCAAGGCCTTATATAGAAGAAGGAAACAAAAACACTCCTGCCCTCTCATTTTACTGAAAACTCCCCCTGCAAGAGTTGAGCAGCATTAGTACAGTTTTAAGTTACTCTTTATGTAAATTGTTGAATTCCATTGCAATCCTATACTATTGAAGGGGTATGTATATTTAGAGGATAGTCAATTTGTTTGCTTAGAATACTAAAAACTAGGGAATCAAATAAAAAATTATCTTTAAATAGGGAAAAGTTTGTATTAGCTTTTTAGCTCAATTATGTAAACATATCATATGGCAACTTTACCCAAGTTGTATCATACATGTCAGCATTGTTTAATAACATAATACATTCAGATGTTTTATGGTTTCAACTGGATATAAATAATGATTCTACAACAAAATATCATACAAGTAAGCATAGCTCTTACAACAGATTCAGATGCAGGGGATCTGAGAGGTGTATTTATTAACCAGATATGTACAGTGGATCTGAGAGGTGTACTGTGGTAATTAGAATTGTGCAAGGAATCTGAGAGGTGTACTGTGGTAATTAGAATTGTGCAGGGAATCTGAGAGGTGTACTGTGGTAATTAGAATTGTGCAAGGAATCTGGGAGGTGTACTGTGGTAATTAGAATTGTGCAAGGAATCTGAGAGGTGTACTGTGGTAATTAGAATTGTGCAAGGAATCTGAGAGGTGTACTGTGGTAATTAGAATTGTGCAAGGAATCTGAGAGGTGTACTGTGGTAATTAGAATTGTGCAAGGAATCTGAGAGGTGTACTGTGGTAATTAGAGTTGTGCAGGGAATCTGAGAGGTGTACTGGTAACTAGAATTGTGTAAGGGGATCTGAGAGGTGTACTGGTAACTAGAATTGTGTAGGGGAACTGAGAGGTGTATGAGTAACTAGAATTGTGTATGTGGGATCTGACAGGTGTACTAATAGCTAGAATTGTGCAAGGGGATATAATCCTTAAACATTATCTGGAACATACATTCAAACATAATGTTTAAAAGGAATGAAGTAATAGTTTGTCCTCAGTCAAAAACTGTACACTTTCTGTCATAGTGTCCTGTTGAATAGTAAGAAATGTTTTAAATAATTTACTACAAACTTATAATATTTAAATAGTGTGATCAGATTAAAATTATAATCAGTCTAACTTTCCAAATACATGACATTTAGACATTATACATAATGGGATAAATGGTAGGTTTATACCAATGTCAGTCTGATCGTGTACATAGAATACTGTAGTTTGTAAACAACAAAACATAAATGCACAAAACTTAGTTACCAACATTAAATATTTTTTTAATCCTAAAATAGAAACAAGTTGCAGCATTCAACCCTTAATCACTACTATTAACTGTAAATCTATCTACAATTGTGTAGGGGATCTGAGAGGTGTATTGGTAACTAGAATTGTGCAGGGGGATCTAAGAGGTGTACTGGTAACTAGAATTGTGTAGGGGAACTGAGAGGTGTATGAGTAACTAGAATTGTGTGTGTGGGATCTGACAGGTGTACTAATAGCTAGAATTGTGTAGGGGATCTGAGAGCTTTCCATTACCACTGATGTAGAGAACTGTCACACAGAGTGAAGATGGTTGTTCATAGACCACTTGTGAATTATTAACACACTAGCCATCTTTTGATGTGAAGTTTTATTATCTTCCTTTATCACTGAAGGGATTTCATTTTCAATTATGAATTTAAGACTAGGAAGTTAATAGAGCTGATTTAGCACTGAAAATCAATTTTAAGCATGGTTTAAGCTTTCTTCTTACCAATAAATTGTCTTTTCCCTCCAATTTTCATGTAGGTCTATTTCTGTGTTTGTGGACTACAGTTCTAATACCCCTTAGTGTTCCAGTCTGGCCACTCCTTCTTTTGCCTTATTTAGAAAATCAAAATGCAACTGTACAGTACTGTGCAAAACTGTTATTTTGTTATTCTTTCCATTTTATTGGCCTAATTCTTCCATATTCATTACAGAATGTAAATTTCACCACTATAGTAATGCTTCACTGTAGATTTTGTTTTGTTGTTAGCTTTACAGAATATAGGGCCATGTTAACACAAGACTGAGGGCTGCTTCTGATGAAAAAACGTCTGAATGTTAACCTAAAAGTTTCCTGGCTCCCATCTTGGGACTCAGTATGACAGTGAGAGTGCCTCTGATGAAAGAGACTGCCAAAACAAACATTCTCTTATAAACGAGGAAGTGGTGGAAGATGACTTTAGTTAGAAGGTTAATTTTTATAGCATAAGTAAAATGTGGCAGGTAAAGTAATTTTTTGGGTAATTTTTAACCCTGGATTATATATCAAATCATAAGTGAAATCATACAAATAAGCTAGCCCTTCCAAGAAATTATACGTCTCCCTTTCCAAGTGTGTGCATTTGTTATAAGCAAAATAGACACAGACCTGATACCATTTCAACAGTCTGTTACAACCAAAAGGAATGGCTCACACACAAAACATTCGTATCTAACATTTTGTTTGTTTGGGCTCTGAAAATTATTCATAGTCTCATTGGTTGTTAGAATATAATATTGTGATATTAATTACAAATGTTATAATTCTCCTACACTGAAAATATATTGCCAACAGGTACTTACTTCTTCTCACATACATAGCTATTCTTGTTCTTTGCAAAAACTTTTTTGCATGCCACACGCCTTTTACTCCCAAGCACCCCTCAATTCACGTGGTTTAACTGATTTTCGTACGCAAATTATTACGCAACAAAGCTCTACAAGTAGTAGTGCCACACACCCAAATGACACCCTTCAAATTTAGGCAGAAATGTAAGCACCAGTTGACAATGTGGAGGAAGGGTGGGAAGTGTGAGCGGAAGTAAGTACCCATCAGAAATACATTTTAGGTGTAGGAAAATTATAACTTTGAACAAGGTACCTTACTTCTGCTCACATACATAGCCAGAATCCCACATTAAATAGGTGAAGGGACCAGTGCGAAGGAGAAAGTAGAAGCACCCTCTAAAACCACTTCTGTAACATGTATAGGTATACTCCTCATCCAGATGTGGAAGAGGTGCAACAGATCTGGGCAGAAACTTGCGAGGAGCACATCCCAATGGGGGAGAAAACAGTTGGACAGTGATCCTAACCACAATATCTTATAGTTTAAATCACCCTGATGAACAAAATGTGGGTAAAATAAGGGGTGTGTCCCAAGGTGTAGAGTGGCTAGGGTGCAACAGACCATACACGTAAAGTCAACTGCGTTCAAAAATCGACTGCAGGAAACTAACATCTGGGTAGGATGGGGATCACACCATCAGTAAGCAAACTGCAATCCAAAACTCAACCACCAGGAACCAACATCCTTGCGGGGGTAGGAAAGAGGATCATACCATCTTTACCTCATGTTCTGCTGATTGGAGGGGAAATCTTACCACCGATTTCTGAACGGGGCATATGTGAGTAGAGTGAAATAACAATATATATATATATATATATATATATATATCCCAGTGAAATCAAACAGACTGAAACTACTTCAAATGCAGCAACATCTTCTGCACAAAAACATTGAAGGGTAGTGCAAGAGAAAGAAGTGGAGCAATCACCATGACCCACAACATCATGCTAATGCATCCGAGGCAAAATGAGTGAGGGGCCAGGGACACCCTAAAGACATGTGTGAGGATTTATTAGGGATTGACATCAAAGCTTGTCTGATTGTCCAGGACAAGTAAAATGTGTAGTAAGACAAGTGAAGTCATCTTTGTACTTGTTCAATTAGACAAGTGGAAATTCTTATTGAAAATGTCAGAGAATATCCGTGTTTGCCAGTTTGTTACCTCTATTCCATTATTTGTCTCATCATGAATCCAGGGACCTAGAGGTGTCCTAGAACCCACCTCATAATTATGATGTAATTCCATTTCTAAGATGGCAACACAAACAATAGTTAGGCCTAGGTCAAGCGCGGTAGCCAGGGAAACGTTCATTGCCCAGAAGTCTTGTTCCTAGATATGCACGCACGCATACACATATACACACAACTAATTAAGCTCCAAAGCTAACTAGCATGGACTATTGAGCTGGCCAGCTAGCATTAAGAGCTCCATTTGAGTGTACATAAAAGTCAGCTAGCTAGCTAACTATCATTAGATCAGGACTGTCAAAAATGTTAAGCCAAGTAGCACCTCTCCATACCAGAGGACTATGTTCTTCTCAATTGAAGGCCCTACAGTGGAGAAATGTAAAGCTGACAGAGCAGCTGAAAGGTGTTTGACATAAACAATCAGGAGCAGAAGACCAAGGTTTAATCCATGGGAAGACAAGAGGACAGAACTGAAGAGGATTTGAAGAGTGAGCTTGGGAAAGAGAAGGATTAAGATGTTGCAGTGGAATGGGATGAGCCAGAATTTACTGATGAAATGTGGCTGCATAGTTTATAGTTCTTCTGAAAAGGACGGTAAGGTTTATAGTTCTTTTGTTCCCCACTTGTGTTTGAGGATGGCTTGAGGATGAGCAGTAATTGGCAGATGAAATATAATTAAATTGTTTGGAAAGCTTAATTAGGTGTATGGTTCTTTTGCTCTCTGCCTGTAGTTGAGTGATCGTATCAATCTGTGGTTATCACTCGTGTCATGCCCTATTCAAAAACTTCGAACAAGTGACTGTGCCCTTTGGACATGTAAGAAATGCTGTTCACTTATCCATAGGACAAGTATCCAAGTAAGTGTAATCTCCTGCTTATATTGATTAGATAAACTCTAAATCCAAAAAAATCAACCTCTGAGAACTGTTATTTATGCAGGGGTAGAATGAGAGATCCCAATCAAAGGGTGAACTGCATTTATGCCATCACACTACATCATGTCAATTGGTTCAGCTCTAAATCCAAAACTCAACCACTGAGAACCAACATCCATGTGGGAGTAGGATGAGGGTTTCCAATCGGCAAAACACGAATATGGACAATATGTTGATTGGTTCAGCTCTAAATCCAAAACTCAACCACTGAGAACCAACATCCATGTGGGAGTAGGATGAGGGTTTCCAATCGGCAAAACATGAATATGGACAATATGTTGATTGGTTCAGCTCTAAATCCAAAGCTCAACTGCCGGGAACTGACTTCCATGTGGGTGTAGGATGAGGGGTCCCAATCATTATGACTGCACACTCCAAAGCTACAACATCCTCTTGGACAAACCCATGCAGACATGGAGCATCCATTTGGAGGATATCTTGTCACTAGCAGAACACCACCTCCCTACTCTCAACTGGAGTCTATATTGTTTATAATGTATATATCTGTCATTCAGGAGAATACCTCCATGGTCCATCACCCCAGTGGCTTGGAACTCGAAAGTGGTAAGAACTCTTTTACTCCACTGGAAGAAACAGGGAGAAAAACATGTTGGAGAGTTCAGAGGAATGTTCACACTAGAGATAGTGCAATGGGTGAATACGAAACCCTATATTGTAAAGCAGACCAAACCAGATTTATTCAATCTAAGGAATCACAGGGATGGGTAGCAATTTCCTTTCTGCTTTACCCATGAAGTCTAGAATGGGCATATTTATGAAACAAAGATAACCTGAAAGCGATATTGTGGAACACCCTATCTCTAGTTTATGTGATTGTAATGGAAATTATGAAAATGAAGTCAACATGGCCTTACATTGTGGGTTTTAGTACAATTCTAAATGATTTAAGTATAACTGGACAGGCACCACTTGCCACAGAGTGGGATCCTGGTCAAAATATGGGACAGACCCCTGAAAAATAATATATATATATAAGAAAAGAAAGAAAAATTATCTAGCTACAGTCTCACTGAAGAGTAAAGGATGGCAACAGAATGGAAGATGGTACCCTGACAAGGCAGAAACAGCTACCCAAAGCAGATAATAGGAGATGAACATATGAAGTTTAGTCCCAGTGCTTGACAGATGAAACACCTCCAATGGATGACGAGGTTGAGAAGCAGGTAAAAGGTGTCTGAACAGAGTGAAGACAATAGGAAGTGATTATGGGAAAGAGGAGACAAGGGAAAAAAATCACGAACAGAGGAGTGGTGCAAGGGAGGGAAACTGCAGGAAATGGAGTCAACAGAAAGATACCATGAAAGCAATGAAGCAACCTTGAGCATTATCGGGACAGAGAAGATCATCCAGGTTTGACTGAGAATAAAGATTGAAGATGGCAATAAGTAGAAATGATGAAAAAAAAATCGATCCAGAACAAAAAGAACATATCAAGCCAAAACAGCCAAGAAGACCAATTCTAATCCTGTTTGAATGTATCGACCTCCAGGGCAAATGGATGATGTATCAGAGACCAAAACAAGAGTTAGCTTGGAATTGAGAAAGGAGTCAAATGCTTCCCATGGAGAAGTACCACACAGAAAGTAGAGCCACTGAAAATTTGAGGTTTGAGAGGCCATTCCTTGGGAGAAAGTGTGTCGGGACTAGAAAGGCAATCTGCAACGAGGATGAAAACACCTAGAACACAACACACCAGGAAACCAGTGTTGGTAAAAAAAAGGTAGGTCCACTGTCTACCTCAAAGAGAACAAGAATGAGTGCCCCCTTGACAAGTAATACAAACCATCACCACTGGATAATCAGAATGAAACATTAGTCAAATCCAGACAAGAGGAAGAAAGTGAACTACAGCACGCTGAGCTGCCGCAAGTGCCAAGGTGTTAACATGGTAAAACCTTTCATCTGGAGATCACTGTCCTGAAGCTTCCTGCTGATCGACCCATGCCTCCAACTTTGGAGATGAGTATCAGGGAAGAGAAACAAATCTGGATGCGGAGGAAGAATCATGGGGGATATGTTCAACCATCAGTGCATACAGTCTAAGAGGGAAGGAGAAAGGAGCTAACCAAAGCCAGAAGTACAAGAATAGTGTTAGTAAAATCCTTCTAAATGCAGAATTCGGGTAAAATGCAGACCACCCGAGAAAAGACATATAGAACTGAAACAAGCCCAAAGGGCAAGGCACGAAACTGGTACCAAATCATGTGGTGAAAAAAAACAACCTAAAATAGCATCCTGAGAAATAAAAATTAAGAACATGTATCACAAGCATTCCCAGTCCTGTAGAAATTGCCCAACCGATTGTAATCAAAGATTACATATTAAAAACAGGGAGGAACCAAGAAGTGATTGAGACAGGACCAAATGATCCAGAATTTCTATCATCATTGAGCATACACAACGAATGGAGAAACCCATAGGTAGGACAGGTAAAGAATGGTAAGGTGCCAGATATGGAACATGAATGAAGATGGCAATGACTCAGACCAAAAAAATAAAATAAAATATAGCATCACAGTACTCTACATGATGCTAAATGCACAGGAGTAGAACAAGAAATAGACCAATGGAGAAAAAGGGCCAACTGTAAGTACCTATTAGAAGTAGATGGTAAACAAAGTTACAAGACAGTGTCCCACCCCAGAAAATCCCAAAATCAAAGAAGCCATGTGTGGAGGGAAAGGACTGAAGATGACAAATGCCCTAACATGAGGGAAGGAGGAAGAGGTATTACATGAAGATCCCCTAGACCAAAGATACGAAAAGAAAAAAAAACAACTTGAAGAGAGCACATCTGAACATGAGCACTGCCAAACGAGAAGTGATAGTTAGGTAGAATAGCATAGAGGGAGTCACATGGATGTGTGGGACTACTATTTGTAAAGGTTTGTTGCATAATAATTTGCATGCGAGAATCAGTTAAACCACATGAATTTAGGTGTGCTTGGGAGTGAAAGGCTTGTGGCATGCAAAAAAATTTTCCAAATAGATGGCAGCACTGAAGGAGAATAGCTACTTATGTGAGCGGAAGTAATGTACCTTGTCAGAAAATTAAATACACTGTATGCATTGTAGAATCATATTTATACTAAGACTATTTGCCATTTGTCATGATGATGATGTAAGTTTTCATTTTAAATTCACAACCTCCTATTTGTAGTGGTTTGTTGCATAATAATTTGCATGCAAGAATCAGTTAAACCATGTGAATTTAGGGGTGCTTGGGAGATGAAAGGCTTGTGGAATGCAAAAAAAATTCCCAAATAGAGAGCAGCACTGAAAGAGAATAGCTACTTATGTGAGCGGAAGTAAGGTACCTTGTCGGAAAATTAAATACACCGTATGCATTGTAGAACCATATCTTATTCTAAGACTATTTGCCATTTGTCATGATGATGATGATGATGTAAGTTTTCATTTTAAATTCACAACCTCCTAATATGAGTTGATTCATCATAGGAATAATGTGAAGAACATATGTTGTATAGTATAGTATGAGAAACATATGTAGTATGCAAAATCTGTGATGTATAGTGTAGTATGCAGAACTTGTGATGTGCAGTATACGGTAATGAATATGTGATGTGTAGTGTATTGGATACAACATGTATAGTAGTGAACAATGTCTTTGATGTATACTGTAGTGTGATGAATATAAGATGTGTAACAGTGTGAAGAAGTTGTGAAGTGTTGCAGTATAGTACACAAAATTTGTGATGTACAATGCTGTGTAAGAAACTTGGTATGTGTTAGTGCAGTATAGTGTAAAGAACTTGTGATGTATTGTATAGTGTAAGGAACTTGTGATGTACTGTGTAGTGTAAGAAACTTACTATGTGTTAGTGCAGTATAGTGTAAAGAACTTGTGATGTACTGTGTAGTGTAAGAAACTTACTATGTGTTAGTGCAGTACAGTGTAAAGAACTTGTGATGTACTGTGTAGTGTAAGGAACTCGTCATGTTTAGACATGAAGAGTGATTTCATATTTTGAGGTTTAAAATGCACTTTAATTTGTATACAAAAGATAAAAAACATTTTCTTTACCTTAAACATATTAAGTTGCTTTGAATATCACGTTTCATATCTGTTTTTTTATTAGCATTAGGTTACAAAAAGGTAACTACTATCTCCATCAGGTTCATGATTCATTACATGGTAAGACTATAGTGAAGAAATCACTAAAAGCAAAATGTAAATTAGGATACAGTAAAATACCACCAATTATTTGATCTACCATTTTCATGGTTTGACCTAATGGTTTTGTTACAGCTTGTCACTTTGACCTTTAATGAAAATTCATTATTTTGTACCTTGGTGTTAGTAAGAAATGAAAGTATAAAAAAAGTTAAAGTTTGTAATAAATTATAACTTTACCTGTATGATATCATGAGCATAGTTTTCAGCACGTTCCCAACTTCCAAGAATAACTTTGTTTTTCTGCCAAGGAAAAGACCCTTCACAAGCTTCAGTTGCCAGAAGAAATTTGTTAGGAAACATTTCATGAGTTATGTCTAACAGCTTTGGTGGTGCCACAAGGTTCATGTACCAGTGAAATCCTATACCATTCACGTACTTGGCTGCTACAGGATCTTGGAGTACCTAAAACAAGTGCTTCCAATTAAGTAAAAAGTTTTGTATGAGTATGAATTAACTAAATACTTCTTTATTAATATATTTTAGTGAACCATAAAGCTCTTAGTGTTTTGCTGAATAACTGTTAAAGAGAAAAAGAAAGTTGTATATATATTATTATTACAATGATAGATCGTTAGAAGTGAAAAATATGAAAACCATGACAATTTAGAATGATTAAAAGAGTAAAAAGTCCCAAATCTTTCACAAATAGATTTTTAGTAGCACTATAATAGGTATTAACACATTTAAAGTAAATAGCACAAATGTTTAATTGAGTTTGTGATCCATTTTTAAATTTGAATTATCACAAGGCAGTAACTTAGTGGAGACAATTATTTCTTACTTTGAAGTGGTTGAAATTAAGTTTACCTTTTCTGCCCATTTAGGAAGAAGAGGCCTCTGATCATCCATGATCATAAGTTGTAGCTTGTTGGGTCCAAAACCTGCTTTTTCTAGAGCAGGGCCAAGGTGAAATTTGATGAAATCTCGCTGAGAATCTGGTGTGAAACCAAGACACTGGAATGGGAAGTTGTCTCGAAAACCATTTAGAGGTTCATTCTGTGCTGTGATACCCCAGAAAGTTATGTTGTAAGCTGCATATGCTTTGAGAAATCTAAACAAATATAGTTAAGTTGGAAAATATACATACTATGTGAAATGCATTGTTTGTATAATTTTAAATTTGAATTCATAAATATTCATACATTATTCTTAGAAAATGTGCCAATTTATGACCCAATAATGTATGCTGGGTTAGAATTCAAAAGCTAAATATGGTCAGTATAGATCACAAAATTAGGTAAATGAGAACTTGCCTGACAAAATAATTTGCCCATGTTTCATAATATTTGCCTCCAACCTCTCCTTTTAATGTGCCCTTCCCAGTCATATTTTCGTTAGTTTTCATCCATGCAGGTGAACTCCAGGGACTCCCGTAGAACAGAATTTGAAAGGAGCTTACGTTCATGGCTTTCTGAATTAACGGAATCTATGAAATGCATAAGAAATAAAATCAAAATAAACTAATCTCAGTTACTATAAATAGTAATTTCTGTGTAAACATTTTATAGCTGTATGGAGCAACATTTCTAATTTTTTTATTTCAGTTCTGATGGTGGTTTAATTACAGTAATTTCAGTTTGTAATAGTGCATTTATTCCAAAAACACAAATAGATGTTAATATCATTAATTTAACATTTAATCTGCATATTTGAATATCATATCTTTCATTTTGTATAAATGATCCTCTTTAGTAAGATGAAAGTAAATCTCAATTCAAAACTTTCAGTGTTTGATTTAAATATTTCAATATCATACCCTTCATCTTGTATAAATGATCCTCTTTAGTGAGCTGAAAATAAATCCCAATTCAAAACTTGTAATGTTTGATCTACATATTTGAATATCATATTCTTCACCTTGTATAAATGATCCTCTTTAGTAAGCTGAAAATAAGTCAAGTTGAAATCTCCAGGAATATCATCATATGAATAATCGTGAGTTGAGAAGTCACAGCTTGCAATAGGTACTCTTCCAATTGAATATTCAAGACCTGAAAATGGCAAGGCCATTTATGTTTATTTGCACATAATTTGAAATAATGTTTTTTTTATTTCTTCAGGAAAAATATTTATAGAATGACTGTTTATTAAAGGCAATGTTTTTCTATAATAAATAGCTAATTAGTAACCAGAATAATTTCTGATTTATCAAGAAAGTACGTTTTTTAGTGAAATATTTACTTTCTTACATGAGGCTTACAGCTAATTCAGTTCTAAGCAAGAAGTTACAAATCTGTTGACATGCAATTAATTTTCAAAGTACCAGATTTTGCTGACAGAACACAAGTTACTTAACTGACACACATGGACTGATTATTGTTGTATATTTTACAGAATTTAAAATTATGTTTGAAAGAAATCTGATCATTTTGTACTTTGCATACTTTATACTTGAGTTTATTTAGTTAGCTTCAGGCGACACAAAACAGTTTTATGTTCTCGGTACAGCTCTTGTGACATTTCAGCATATTCTGGAGTAATTAACTTTTATTTATTTGTTTACTGTTTAGTGAATATTAAGTGAAATGTTGGGAAAAGAAATAATTTAAAAATTGTTCAAGTTTGTAGTCAGTCACATAAAATGTTATGCTTTGATTACTTCTAATTACACACATTTCTTAGTGTTCATTCTTCACACAAATATAATCATATGAAGGTACAAAACTATTAAAATATTCTTGTTGTATTCTAAATCAAGACAAACATTTATTACATTCTATAAACAGCTGTCTTGATGGCATGTGGTGAAATTAAATAAATGTTAATGTACCAATGTACAATAAACTGGTATTCAAATTTGATGACAAGGAACCCACTTTGAGACAAGAAGTTAGCTGGAAAAGGTAATGAAGAACACTTTTAACTGAAGATTACAAATCTTGTTGAAATGATGTGTATTTGTTACTGTATTAAATTTGCAATAATAATAGGTCATCAAGAAATTAATGTTGCTTTTTTTTAGATGAAAAAACCCAAATAACTTATATATCAAAACATTTATTAGATGAAATAGTCTCCATTTTATCAATGATGGTTTTCCATCTTACAATCAGGTCATTAATGGCCTGATTAAAGGAGTTTGAAATGAATTACTCCTTTGATGTCCCAAGCATCACTTTCTGTGGATGGAGTCGAGGATTTGGGGTCGGAAGTGGTTTTTTTCTAGGACTGAGCCATTATTTTTGGTGTTTAATATTCACACAGAAAATCTATTTCTCATTACTGGTGCCAATTCTATCCAAAAATGGTTCATGTGCATTATGCGCCAGATGACACGAAGTAATGTTCCCATGTTGGAAACGATGATCATCAGAGAGTTCGTCAGGCACCAAACACCTTTTTTATGGAGTTTTCCCATATTTCTTAGATGTTTACGTATTGTTTCATGAGAGACAT